GAGCTTGCTTTTCAGCCGGCGGTAGCTCGCCTCCGCTGGTGTCCATATCGGCCAGTGGGTCGATGGGAGAACTGGGGGAGCCAGCTATAGAGAGATACGAGTCAATGGACCCGGGCCCACTGATACCAAGGAACTCCAGGGTATTGTCCACCACGGGACCGTCACTGCATGTAGCCCAGGTGATGCCGTCATCTGGGTCTTTCTCTTTCACGGCAGCGAAAACATCCACTCTCTGCATCTTCCACGCACGCGAAAACATCCACTCTCTGCTGTTTCTCTGCCACAGGCAGGCATGCGCAGAAGGGGCAAGCAGTCTGGCGAGAGAGGGCCAGCTCGGCGTGCTCTGCGCAGAGGCAGGCGTCGCAGCGGGGACATACAGCGACAGCAGGGCAGCGCCGGGTTCCGGTGGTGTAGGAAGTTTGCTCTTTAGCCATAGGAAATCTTTAGAATGCTCTTAGAACTGTTGAAGAAAAAGAGGGAGGCGAGCTCAGGTCACAGTGGCATTTATACTACTACTGCGGACCTGATCAAGGACAGCCCAGTGCAGGGCACAGGGCGCGAAAGAATCTCTTCAGGACTGCGCATGTGCGATGGATAGACCCAATAGTGACAGCTCTTAGAGGGCTACGCCTATATGAAACAGAACTATCCGTTATGTTGGGTGTGGTGTGGGCCCCAGATGCAGACACAGAATCTAGAGGAGTAGGATCTATAGAAAGCAGTTTATTAAACAAGCAACAGGTTATGCTGAATGGCAGGATGTCAAGCAGGCTCAGGGTTGGCAGGAAGTGCAGTGGGCAACAGGGGACAGGTAAGGTGAGGAACCAGGACGGGCAGGTGAAATGACAGGAGGGACACAGGAACCAGTGGACGAGAGGTGTTGAGCAGAGGGTGGTCAGGTGAGCAGAATAACAGTCGCCGTCAGGTAAGCCCAGTAACGTAGGTAGTCCGATAAGCACAGTATACTACACGCCCCGTAGCAAACAGCAGGGTGCTAACAGCGTCAGTGCACTCGCTCCTCCGCATAGCGAGCAAATAGCATACTTATGGCGGAGTAGAAAGGAGCAGGGCACAGCACATGGAAGTGGCTACCAGAACAAAAAAAAAAAAAAAAAAAGCTAAATACTCAGAGAAAGCAACAAAATACACTATATCGCCAACCGATTCTTAATCCATAGGGTTTAATATGATGTTGGCCCACCCGTTGCAGCTATAACAGCTTCAACTATTCTGGGAAAGCTGTCCACAAGGATTAGGAGTGTGTTAATGGGAATTTTTGACCATTCTTCCAGAAGCGCATTTGTGAGGTCAGACACCGATGTTGGACGAGAAGGCCCAGATCACAGTCTGGGCCTTCTCGTCCAACATCGGTGGAGGAGAA